GCCCGCAGCCCCCGGCCCCAGCAGTTCTTCGGCCTGATGGGCAAGCGGGATGCCGGTGAGCGGGGCGGGGGGCTCTTCTCCCAACTTCACAGCCGTTGTCACTCGGTTTGAACGCGTTAAACCTTTCTCAGAAGTTGCGGTGTGAGTTGTTTGGCTTCAGTTTTGCTTTGGTTTTTTTTTTTTTCCAAGTTTAATATCAGATAAACCCACCGATTTGTAAAGACTGGGCTTCACGTTAAAGTGCTAAGTGCACACCAGTTACAGCATGTAAATACCAGTAAGGAATATCACGATAATTCACAAGTATCTGCCACTGAATTGCACATATTGTGCAATATGTGCACACTTGTGCACTGAATTGCACTGTCTCCAAATTGTGTGGAAATTGGTTGTGTATACAATTATTGCCGTGCTTTCTACATGTTTACTGAATCAAGAATTGCTCAAAGCAATTTGGAGCTAAACAGATCTAAATTGTGTGGGTTTAGCTGAAACAAGATTTTGTAGTCTATTCAAAAAGAAATGCAGTTGTAAACGATCGCCTTAATTTCCCTTAAGTGGAATATGTGTAGGGTAGTTTCTGTATTTGATTCTTCAAAGCATTGCAGTAGCATCGTATGTATATGCCAATCCTTTTTCAATAACTTTTTCCTTTTTTTCTCTTTCCTTTCCTCTTCCAACCAGGATATGGCCAGATCTCTCACAAAAGTAAGTTAAAAAAATGCTAATATTTTAAGTAATTATTAGAAGATATTCCAATAGGGAATAATGTGTTTGAGAGGATTAGTTAGAAGGTGATGGGGTTCAGCTAAGGACCGGCAGCACCGGTGGTGGAGAAATGTTCTGTGAAAGGACTGAAAACTCCCCAGTGTAGCCATGAGCCTGTACCTCATCTGTGCTGCCACAAGCTTTGAGATTTCAATCCACATTACTGTGTGGATGTTGCAGCTCTCTCTTATTTCCCATGGGGGGGATTCTGGAAATCTTTCTCATAGGCAAGGCAGGCTTACTGCCAGACTTGGAAAGGAGCAATTAAGACAGCAAAATTTGGAAAATTAGAATAGTGAATTCCCAAATCCCCGAGAATGATTCCACAAGAGAGCTCATGTCATCGCGTGTGAGATACTGTATCTGCGCTCACAGCGTTGTCTGGGTGGGAATCAGACCCCCCTCGCAGCAGGGGCTGATTGATGATGTGCTGCCATATAAACAAGTGTATCTTGCCCCATTAATAAGCGTGCCTTGCTTTGCTTCTGTGTGACACCAAGTGGGAGATGTTATCAGCAGTGTGGTGTTACCTTGTTCTGCACAGTGATAGTTTTATTCTCTGAATTTATCTGAAGATGCTTAGACAGGAGCTGGAAGACTTTTAATAAGTAAAAATGATCTTGTATTCTGCGAGACCTCCTCTGTCCACAGAGGTCAATAACTGTCCCAGTGTTCTGTTAGCCACGAGATTTTATCACTAGGATTATGTATTGGAAGACCAATTAAAGAGTCAGATACAAAGCTCATGCCAAATAACCTGCTGACTAAAGTAAAAAAATTATAGCTTTCTGAAAGTGCTTCAGCTTGAATTAATACTGTGAGGTCTGGGGATCATTCAACTTGCTTTGTAGATGAATTAGCCAAGCAAAATTATTTCCAAGGAGAAATTTCTGAGTTTGCCTCAAAAGTCAGCTTAGAGAAAGAAGAATGGCTCCTTTTCATTCCTTATCTGAAACTATAGCTACCACTATATCTGATACATGCTGTAGGCCAAAACTTGGAGTAATTTATCCTCTACGCATCCAGTGCCTTGAGAAGTACTAATGGAACACAAAGGTAATATCTGAACTCATAAATATTCCAAAAGTAGAGCCTGACTGTCTAGCTCAGATGTGTCCAGACAGAGTCCCATTGGCTTCCTCTCCAGTAAAGGCTCTGCCTGACCTGCGAGGAAGATTTTTCTTCCACGTTACAGAAAAAAACACCAACAGGTAGAAGAGATGCATCACACAGATGCAGGCTATACCAAGACACTGCCTTCTTGTGCATTTGCTGAAATCAATAGGAATTGTACTGGGAGAGGAGTAAGAATCAGTTATTGGCCGTTGTTTTTCCATTATACTTAAAAAAACCCACAAAACAAAAAGTCTATCTGAGTTATGAGAAGATGTCCACTAACTGGCCTGTGCCTTGGTCTAACCTGTTCAGTCTGATTAGGCAGACTGATGTTTGTTCTCCATTGTCTGAGAGTGGTGTGAATAACTAGTCCGTGAGATGAACAGTTTTGGAGCCTGTGTCTTCGTTCTTCGCGAGAACATGTTATCTTAAAAGCCTGCCTATTTAAAATGTATTAAAACACTCCCAAATATATTTTTTTCAGGGCATAAAACAGACTCCTTTGTTGGACTTATGGGCAAAAGATCTCTAAATTCTGGTATGTATGTGACTAAATCTGGTACTCGGTAATCTCGGTACTCGGCTTCTTCATTCTGTTGCCTCTTTGTTCTCTCCCAGCGGATGGAAGAAGCAGTTTTTATGTAGTGTAGACCCAGAGTTCTGTGAAAAAGGATCAGGATTTTCTTTGTTAACCAAGATATTTCAGGGTCCACTTCACTCCAATGCTTGAGATGATCAGGCTGGTCTGAGCTGCAGGCAAGGTCAGGTAGAAGTCCCCAGGGCACTTTCCTTACTGCCCTGTCCTCGCCAGCAGCATGTTCTGCTGGTCAATACAAGAAAAAACTAAATTTTACTGACACATCAAGAAAAATTCAGAGGCTGAAAATGTAAAGCTCGTTTAAACTTGTGATCCAAATCCAGATCTCCCCAGGTAAAGGGGTATCCTCATCGTCTCTGGAGATCATTATTCCTCAAACTTGGAGCAGAATGTGGAAGAGCAGAGATCTGCCACCTCATTCTGCAGGTCAAGCTGTAAGCATTCCCCGCCTCTTGCAGCTTTTCATTTTATCTAGAAAAAAAAAAAAAAAGAAAGAAAATAGCAACAAGCATTTTAAGCTTTGAACTGAAACTGTGAATTTGTGTTATTTTCCCATAGCATCCATATAGGGTGGAATCCTCCTCCCTCATGTGCACAGCCCCTGCAGGTAACTGCAGACTGCCAGGAGCTCTAGCTTCCCTGTGCTATAGGGCTGTACTGAGGAAATCCCTCACGGTGAACCACAAATTGTCAGTTAATTCCCCAGAACAGGAATTAAAAAAATAAAAAACCTAATACGAACATGTCTCTGAAATAGTTCTTACTGTTTCGTTAAATGGATGATAAAAGTTAAATTACTAGCTGACACCTTTATATTATGTGGATACACGCTGTGATCTATATTCTGCAATTATGGTTGTCAGTAACTTTTATTTTCAATTAAACCCTGTTCAGACTAGTAATATTGCTCTCTGCATCATTTTGCAAATTGCTATGTATCATGAATAATTTTGTACAATTTTATCTGTGGTGGCAATAGCTATTAAGTGCATAATACCTGTAAACATATCTGCTATCACAAAAGTAAATAGCCTGGAAGTAATAAATTGGGTTTGGTTTCCATTGGGATTACCTTTACATTAATATGAGAATGTAAAATACAGCAAATGTTTTAAAAAGGCAAAGATTTTATTGCCCTAATATCAAAATTGCTGCTATAGTCAAGATACTGTTATGTGGTATTTGTAACAAGGGAATAATGAAAGTTTACCCTGTCGGGCTATGTAATACCTGCCTGACAGGTAAAACTAGAATTCACTGCTTTTCTGCCCAGTTCCCTGAGACGAAAATGGTAAGAAGTTGCTTCTGCTCCTCTGGAGAAGATAGGTCCTGAGGACTGTATAATCAAAGCAAGATCAGGAGTATCTGCTAGGACTGTCCTTACTTCTCCCTACTGAAAGGTATTGAACTGGGCAGGACCTTTTCTTGGTGCCATGGTTTTCTTCTTCTGCAGAAAGCCCCTGAGTCCCCTGGCAATGTGTAGGAGTTCACACCGCCCCGCTGCTGGGTGTGAGCGCAGTGCTGATTTAAAGCCTCGTGTGACAAAGCAGAGTACCGGGATGCTGGTGTCTTAATTCCTGCTTTGGTAAAACGGGGTCTGACACTGACTGCCTCCCAAGCTGCGCAGTCTGGCGGGTGAACGCTCCAGGTAGAAGTTAGAAAGCAGTCACATGTACAGCAAAGATACTATAACAATCCATACTGAGAAAGAAAATTCAACTCATTTTGCATTTAGCCTAGTGAAAATTGAAGTCTTGTTAATTTAAAACTGTCACTGATCCAAAATGCCAACTCCCTGCAGGATGCAGTGCTGAATCCCCCCAGACTAGCTGTGCATTGCATGCAATAATCAGGCATGCATACGCTCTGTGAAAGCAATCCTCCCTTTGGGGTCGAAGCAAAGATGACTCTGGTGATGACCAGCTATGTCACCCTATGGTCAGGCACTGCCCAAGAAGGGCTCTCTGGGTTTCCCTCTCATTTTAAAAGAGCAAGAAGGACAGATCTACTGCTACTAAGTGCTAAATGTGTTACTGAAGACTATTTTAGGCTGTGGTTGGTCCACAGGGTAGTCTGAGGTTTGCTTAGCTCCTGCTGCAGATTTTAGTAAAAGGTATCACTGTGTGCTGGGCTTGGGGACAGGGAGGGTTTAAACCTGGCAAAGAGCTGACTCTGCAGGACAGAAGGTGGACGTGTCGATGCAGAAAGCCTCAACCCACAAATTGATCCGAGTGCTCAGACCCCATCAGTTAGATGGATTACTGGAACGTAAAAAGGTTCTGAGTTGATGGTGCTTCACGCAGCTTGATAGAGGAGAGGTAGAAAGCACTGCTCAGACCTTCAGCCTCCTGGAGGATGGTGTAGTCTGAGGGGTAAAACCAAATGAAAACAGCTCAGGGCTGTGTCAGGATCCTCATCTTGGGTCCAAAGGCCCTGAAAGGGTCCAGCAGTGACCCAGCAGGCTGCAGGTGTCTGACGTTTCCTTGCCCTTGCTGGGGTTTACGCAAGGCTGTACCATGTGCTTCATTCTGCTTCATTTTTTGCAGGTTCCTCTGAAAGGAGCATAGCACAGAATTACGAACGGAGGCGTAAATGAGACATTCCCGTGCATTATTTATTAAACCCCATTTGTTCCAATGGCCAATGCAGTGTAATATAAACTAACCACTGTATGGAATAATTATTTATTTAATAATAACCGATTTTTTTTTTTAGTTGTACATTCAATAAAATGATTATTTTTCATATTGTGGCAGCGATACATGTTGTGTAGGTGCGTTGTGGTTCTGAAAGGACCAGCAACCCTGGTGACGTCTCACAACAAAGCACATTGTTTGATATGACCCATAAAGTTATGTTCACTAAACAAAGAGAATATTCTTTTGTTTGTTGAAAACGAGTTTATCAGCTTCACAGCCAGTGCAGAACAGAGCTGATGTACAGTCTAGTGCCTCAATTTGTTTTCATGGTTTATAATGTACTGTAATTTCAGTATCAAAAAATATATTTGTATCATTGCAGCATGTTTTATGTTTTGTGACTACGTATCTACATATTTTAAAAAGGGGGGGGGTAAGATTTGAATGTGAATCCAAGGTCTTCATTTCATAGCCTGGAATTTTATGATAGTAACATTTTAAATAAAAACTACTCTGGGGATTTTGCAACATACTTTCTTTGGTGATAGTGATGGCATTATTTCCCAAGTCGGTCCGGAATGAGACTTGGATCCAAGCAACAGTGGTCTGAGACTGGAAAGAAATATCAAACTGATGTCTTCCTTTTGCAGGGAGGCTGTGAACCTCCTAGTGCAGGTTTGGTGATGCTTTGGGGTGTTTGCTGCTGGAGCCAGGCGTTCCCAGGACTGCTCTGGGTCACACAAGGTGCCGTCCATCCTAAACCCAATGGAAATTAAGAAGTGTGTTGACTGAATGAAAACGGCCTGATGTATCCCCTAGCTCCAAGTGGAATAATTTGCTGTGGAATTCATCCACTATTGCAGGTTTATTATTTGAAAGCCAAACTTTTAATAAATTCTAGCTCCCAGATTCACAGTAAAAGTACCTGTTGGCTGGAATCCATACAATATAAGAGAAAAAAATGTGAGTGTAATTATCTTTTTAATTAAAATGTCTGGTTACTATATTTCTAGAACAGTCCCAAAATGCTACATACACCTCACCAGATGCCAAGGCATCTGGAGATCTATATTCTTTCCACCAGCTAAAAGCTACAGTTCTCTGATGCTACCATGTGAACTTTCATCACAGATGAATCAGCAGTGAAAACAGCCAGTGTATACAAACCAAATTTCAAAATAAGTAATGGAGTGATTAACTGGTTGTTGTTTTCCATTTCAGAAGTGAATTCGGCAACGTACATTTTCAAGGTTACCTGGGGCATCCCCACAACTGCACCCATTAAGAGCGGGTGGGCGTAGGACCTCCCTCCTGCTAGGTTAGGAGCAGCACCTGAGCCTGCCCATGCTTAAAACAGACCCCACTTCCAACTAAGTAGGAGCCAGTTCTAGCGAGGTAGGGAGCTACACGGTGGGAAAACTGAGGCAGACTTGCGACAGGGACCACACTGGTGTAAGATACAGGGATTTTATTTGTGCTCTGCCAGCTCTTCATCTTGTCAGGGCTAATTTTCAGACTAATAAACTTCTGTACCAGCTCCCACTGAGCTCAATGAGGGGGGAAGCTGGTTGCTCGGCTAACAGCATGGCAAAAGGAGTGCAGAAATGCATGTTGAATAACGCTCCGTGAAGGGTAAGAAGAAAGAAAAAGCTTTAAAATGCTGTCGCCTGAGCCTGGAGGCTCATGGTGCTCCCAGAGCCTACAGCCCATGTGCGCTGAATTGTGAGATGCAGAGAGGCTCCCTGCAGCCCGCGCATCTCACAAACCTCCCTGCAGAAGCAATCACAGCACGCGTATTTGCATTCAGAGAAAGCCACACAAGACAGAGTGGGTTTTAAGTGTTTGGAGGACAGCACAGATATTAGTTAACAGCACCCAGCAAAGGGCTGGGACTGAATTTTCTAGCAAAACCATAGAATCATAGAATGGTTTGGGTTGGAAGGGACCTTTAAAGGTCATCTAGTCCAACTCCCTGCCAGGGGCAGGGACACCTTTCACTAGATCAGGTTGCTCAAAGGCTTGTCAAGGCTGACCTTGAACGCTTCCAGGGATGGGGCATCCACAACTTCTCTGGGCAACCTGTTCCAGTGCTTCACCACCCTCACCGTAAAAAATCTACATTCTTTCAGTTCAAAACCATTGCCCCTCATCCTATCCCTACAGGCCTTGGTAAAAATACCTCTCTCCATCTTTCTTTTAAGCACCCTTTGTATATTGAAAGGCTGCGATAAGGTCTCCCCGCAGCCTTCTCTTCTCCAGGCTGAAAAACAACTCTCTCAGCTTTTCTTCATAGCAGAGGTGTTCCAGCCCTCTGATCATTTTTGTGGCCCTCCTCTGGACCCTCTCCAACAGGTCCATGTCCTTCCTGTGCTGAGGACCCCAGAGCTGGAGGCAGTGCTGCAGGTGGGGTCTCACCAGAGCAGAGTAGAGGGGCAGAATCACCTCCCTTGACCTGCTGGCCACGCTTCTTTTGATGTAGCCCAGGATAGGGTTGGCTTTCTGGGCTGCGAGTGCACAGTCGGGTCATGTCCAGATTTTCATCCTCCAGTACCGCCAAGTCCTTCTCCGCAGGGCTGCTCTCAATCCCTTCATCCCCCAGCCTGTATTGATACCGGGAGTTGCCCCGACCCAGGTGGAGGACCTTGCACTTGGCCTTGTTGAACTTTATGAAGTTCACACAGGCCCACTCCTCAAGCCTGTCAAGGTCCCACTGGATGGCATCCCTTCCCTCAAATGTATCAACTGCACCACGATCGTTTTCTCTAGAAGGAAAGGCCGACTCTCCAGCATCAAAATATTCTCCTGCTAGGTGGCTATCTGATAAGTGGCTTTAATTTGGCATTTGAAACAACTCAATTTCTGGAGGCAAAATAATGTCAGATTTGTGCTAATTTAGGTTTTGAACAATAAGATTAAAATTGGCATTGGTTTATATGTTTGTACAGACATACATTCCAAGCTAGAAATAAACCAAACACACACCAAAAGGCACAGCCTGAGATGTTCCAGCTAACTCTACCAACAATACAAAAAAACCCTCATCATATTTCACCACTGGGGCCTGTTCGGCCGAGCCGTGCCGCGTTGGGGCTGTGGGGCTGTGCCTGCCCAGTGGGTCTGGGGCAGGCATGGAGGCACGGGAACCATGCACGCCTGCAGGCATCCAGCCCGGCAGCTGCCCATCCCCACCGCAGGCTCACTCCAACCGCCCTCCTGGCCCAAACACTTGTCCTCACAGGCATCCTCACTGGCATCATCACCTCATGATTCAATCAGGAATTCTTATTCTTACATCTTTATACAACCTTTAGTATGAAGCAATATAGTCTATACATTACTGAGTACTTCAAAGGGACTTTTTAATCATTTCTATGGTCTTTAATCTCCTTTTTAAGGCTTCTTTGGCTTTTAAACACTTTTATGTGTTGGACAGCATTGCTTGCAGTCCCAGGCTGCTCATGCCTTGGATCACTGGATGATGCCAGCTCTCCAGCTCCACTGCAGGCTTTGGAGAGGGTTTCACTAAATCCCCAGCCATCTCTGCAACAACTAGCCATGACTGTGACACAGACTTAGTTCTTCTTTGATAGCAACAGTCTGACATCCCTCAGGCTGTGTAAGCTAATCGATAAAGCTGCAGCAAGGACATTTGTCAGTGCAATGCAAGAGAGCTTTAAATAAAGTAATAAAAATCTTTCTAGGTAATCAGCACAGACAGTAAACCCAGGGTGATGCTGGTAATTGTCCCCACTGGGGAGGTGCTACAGGCAGTTGGATACTACAGCCCGCCTCCAACATGCTTTGCCTCCTTTTTGCTTCTCTTTTCCCCCTGAAACACATCATTCATCTACATCATGACAGGTGGCTGCTCTTCTGGTAGGCACTGTCTCCCTCACACACATGGGCACTCCCCTTCCCCCAGACAGGGGATGCTGAAGTCAGGCTGGCAGCAGCCTGCCTTGCCCAAGCATGACCTGGAGGACCATCAGCTCCATCCATCACCTCCATCTCTCTGCTGTTGCATGGAGACTGGTCCCCCATTGCGCAGATGCAGCCAAACTTACCCTGGGGAGCCAGAGCCATGGTGTACCTAGCCCCCCATGAAACAGGGAGCTGCGAGGGGGGTCTGGCTCTCTGTATACACCTCACCAGGGGAGCTTGGGCTCTGCAGTGCTTACCCACCCAGCTGCCACGAGCAAGTCCTTTGCTGTGTTCACATCAGGATGCTGGTATTTTTTGGCATGGTCCTAACCAAAAGAAAAGGAAGAATCTGGAACTGTCTGGGCACGGAGATTGTTGTGGAGAACCCAGCCCCCAGCCATCATTAGTTAGAGCAGAATAACACCAAGAGGTTTTTTTAAATTATTAAATTGATTCTTAAAAATGCTGTTTATTCAGGGTATGCCAGTAGAAGCTCCTTCAGAGCTATCAAGAGCCATTATTTAAATGCAGGCTTTGTCCCTGTCTCTTCTTAAACTACAGCTTAGACAACTGCTTTAGCATAAAGAGATACAGAGCAAGTCCCAATGCAAACTTCAGTAATGACCAAATTTTGTCACGATGAGCCTGAACAGTTCCCTTAGCCATAGTATCACAGACTGCATTAAAGAACATCTCCTGGAGTGCCGGGACGAGAGCACACAGCAGCTCCTTCCCTGGAGTTGTACTGTGTCAGGATGCAGCCACCTGCAATTCTGGGTACAGCTCCGTGTCCTCATGCTACCTCCAAAATGGCTCATTTTCCTTTACAGAAAATAGTAGTTACTGGAAGAATAGGCTTTTTTTTTTTTTTTTTCCTGTTAGCAAGCATAAAAATGTTTTCCAACCTATCTAAATCTTTCAGGGAAGACAAACAGACTCTCTTTGCATTGTTCTCCCAATGTTTTTGAAAGAGCAGAGACTGAAACATTTGTCAACAGGAGGGGCATCTGGGCTATGTGAAGTTCATTATGATATTAATTAAAAATTATCACTGCTTCACCCCTGATAGATATCTGGTTTCTGTCAGAATAAACTAGCAACTCATCAGCTCAGAAACTCCTTTTTAGAGAGGTACACAGAGCACACGCAACAAACATCACCTCTTGATTTCTTCGTCCGGCTCGAAATTAAACAATATCACTGCTTGCTGTATATAGAAGACATGAAACATGAACAGGCTGTTGAAAAGCCAAATTCTTCATCTGTCACAGTGCTTCACGCTCCCCCAGAAGCCTGGCAAGGTGAGGTGCCTTGGCCAGAGGTAACAGCAGTGGCTGAGCTAGAAAGGCAATGCACACCCTGTACCCAAGTGGCCACTTCTGCAAGGTGCTATGTAAGCGCTAAGAAACTTAGGAAGAACTATAAAGCATATGGCTGAACGTTAAGAAAATCTCTGCAAATTAAAAAAAAAAAAAACACCAACTTTTTTTTTTTCTATCTAAACCATTTCTTACATTGCTATTTTAGAAGCCCAGCTGTAAGAGACATAGCTGCACCAACATATGTCAATAAGCTTTTATCGTTGCTTTCTACAGGAACTAGTTTGTAT